TTTTAAAAATAATAAAAAATTTTAATTTTAAACCAAATATATAAATAACATATATAAAAAAATAAAAAATATATATCTTATTAAAAAATCTAAGACAAAAAATCCTTTTTTAAAAATAAACTGTTTTGCCGTCCTTCTATTAGTATTATATTTGAAAAGTAAAGCAATTAGGAGTAGCACATGAAGAATTTAGGTGCTAGATGATGTGGTTGCTGGGACCTATAATGTGGGCCTATATAAAAAAGAGCAAAAAGGTGACAGACAGGATCTATCTAACCCCTTTGATCAGAGGTAAGGTGGGGGAAAATCAGAATATTTGGACGGCTACAAGAAAATTTCTTTTTTTTTTTTTTTCCTTCCTTTTTCTGATAAGAATAGGGTTGAAAATAGACACAGTATTTTCTCTCTCCCTCCTTTTTTTTTCTTTTTGTATTTCTCTTTCCCATCATGATAAAATGGACCCACGAGGTGAAGGGGAATCAATTAATGGAAGGAGCAGAATACCAATTCAAAAGATTACGTTATCACTACCTAAGATCAGGTTATCACAGAAAAATGGGGATTGAAAAGGAGTGCTGTCAATTTAACATTGGGTTAAGATGATTGGAGTTCCATCCCCAAAATATAAACACATGCATATCCGTCAAGAAACATCCCCACCCTAACATCTTTTTTTATAGGAAAACAAAAACTTTGTCGTGGAGTTCGAAGTTTTGGTGGTATAATTTAAATTATTAAAAGATATTATTTTTTATTTAATTATTTGTATTTTACGATTTAGTATGATTCATATTGTGAAATAAGAAATTTGTTTAATAAAAATATGAATTAACATAAATATACTTTTAATGTTCCTTCTTAACAATTATAACCTATTTAAATAAAAATAATGTTTTCTTAATAAAGAATACAAATAATAAGTGCACTAAACATTATAATGCAACCGATAAAATGTATAACTAATGATTTAAATTAAATCAATTCAAATTTACCTACTTCTAATATCATAAGAAAAAGATTATCAATATAATTTAATTTGATTCGACAATAATTTAAATAATTTAGTGGTAATTTTTTTTCGTTAAAAATAAGAAATTCTAAATTTAAGTTGTATAATATAAAAGTGAAGTAAGTTTCGAAATGAAGAATAATTATGTCTTATTGTGCAATCCAAAAAAAAAAAAATTAGTTCAATGAAATATCAACAAGGAACTATTACTATTTTTTTTTATACTAACTCTTTGGTATTTGAAAGCTATATTTGCCCCAATTAATATGAAATATCAACAAGGAACTATTACTATATTTTTTTGTACTAATCTTTTGGTATTTGAAAGCTACATTTGTTTTGATTAATTCAAAATCAAACTGTGTCAGATCCCATAAAAAAAAAAAACTCTCCCACTACTTGCAGCCATGTAGTGAGCAAAGAGCGAACTATCATTACTATATTTATATTCAAAAACATATATACTTTTTACAATTTGAATTGCACAAGATATTTCTTATTTATTTTATTGGTTATTGGTTATTGGTTTTTCATTTAAGTTTGTGTACTAAAATGATACTCCTGTGATTAATGTGCCCAAAAAGAAGAATATGATTTTATCAGAATATGTAATATATATTTAAGGAAGTTGCATTGGGGTTAACTTTGTTTCAGTTATAAAAAGGTCAAAAGGGTAGGGGTTAAGATGCACTAAAGTCAAATAAATCATGCAAAAAGAAAAGAAAAGAAAAAACCATGGGAAAAGATAGATATTATACATGGGGAAGAAGGAAGAGGAGGCAATGGCATTAGAAAAAGTGACCCCAAGGAAAGAGGGACCCTTCCATTCAACAATGTGAGTCCACATCTCGGTGGGATTCTGTCCTATGGAAAAAAAAATGGGGCAGATTCATCAATAATTCGTGTGGATAATTAAGCAGCAAAAGCTATCCCAAAACAAAATGCCAACAACGATGGGACATGAAAGGGGAAGGCCATTTAAAGGGTGGAAATTATTAAATTGTTTTTTAAAATATATTTTATGTAAAATACAAGGCAATATATAAATATACATAATATAAATTCTACTATTATTTAATCATGGTGCACAAATTAAGAAAAACTTGAAAATTTCTCACATACACAAGAGATTGAACTCACTATCTCAAGACTGTAAGGCCCTAGCCTTAAGATTCTTAACAAGTTAATCTAAAGTCTTTTTATTTTTTATTTTTTTCTTTAATGTTGCCTTTTACTATAAAAACTTTTTACATAAAAAGATGTTATGAAGGCCGGGAATTTGACAAATTGAAGTTGGCTTTGGAGTTACAATATTCTCGACTACTCCTTTTAAAAGCACAAAGCAGACACTTTAATTTTATTTACATTAAAATTGCACTGAGTTTTCTTGGGGAAAAAGTGAATTGAGTTTTGAAGCATATTATATGCTGAATAGTGGTTGACCAAAGAAGATTATTGACAAAAGGCAGGAAAGTATTTAGTAATATACTAAATACCATAATCTGTACAAATACTTACGCTGCCTTTGGTTTCCTACTTTTTCAAGAAAATATTTCCTAGGAAGCCTCACATATTTTGTGCCAGCTTGGCTTGGGAAAAATTGTTTCCAAGCAAGAAGTTCAATGAAGCATTATGGTTGACTATGACGGAATATAACTGGATATAAAGGAGAAAAAACTGCAAGTTGTGCATAATTTTGAGCCCAAACCGACAATTTTGATGTTGGCTTCCCTAGGTTCCACTTTTCTAGTAAAGTTAGAAACCAAATGCATCTTTAAGGATATGCTTGCTTTGAGGTTAATATTTTCATGA